CTTTTGCAACTCTTCCCTGCTAGTTCTCATGGTTCCTCACAAGACAATTGTATCACCCTCTCAACACTCCTTTCCAGATAATTTGTGATTACTTCAGCCCCAGAAGAACTAGACAGCCAGAAGCTGCATCTGGCCAGGTTTGTTTTCTTTACTCTGCATTTAATTCTTCCTTAAAGAAAGGCAGTTTTAGAGAAGGAGCCGATACAGAAATCAGCTATTGCTGTTTTCCATGAGTTGCATCCAGAGTCTCTGCAGAACACATGGTATTTGCTAACCATGTTGCACTACACAGTACTTGGGCCATATGTGAATATTGATCAAATGGATTAGTGTGTTTCCCAAGCAGTGCACTGACCGAGGTGCACAGGCCGGTCCTGCTGTGTGCAAGCAGATGGCCCGTCAGCAGTGCAGGAAGCTCCGTGTCAGACTCTACAGCAATGGTCTATCTAGGCCAGGCTTTACTCAGGCCTTGGGTAACATTGTACACCCAGTACAGACCCTCCCTCTGCCACTTCAGGAGCTGTGCTGTGCCACAGTGCCCTGAGTCCTGGGTTACCACAGGATACCTGGCATCCAGGGGCTGGCTGCAAAGGCACAACAGTGTCTTTGAGTCTGTGTCCCTGTGGACATGGGTGCAGGTAGGAGATGTGGGAAGCAAATGGGTTCTCTCTTTAGCCGTATTGTCCTATTATCCCAACTGAAAGGCTTCTGCAGGGAAACCACCTTCACTTCCAGCTTTAGCCAAGTGCCTACCATCTTTAGCAGCATGTCCATGCCCATCTTTGCAAGTCTCTGCCGCAGCTCTGTGGCAATCTCGGCGTGCAGGTAGCGTGAAATAGGCTCACTCTCCTGAAATAAAGACAGAGCTGGAGTCAAACACACCCTGTGTCCCACCTTCAGCCACACCTTTATCTGGGTGCCAAGCATTCAGGGAAGGTGATAACAATACCCTAGAAAGGACCTGCCAGATAGAGGCTGTACCCAGTGTGGTAGAGAACATGACAAAAGAAAGGGTTTGTTCTTTGGAAAGAGAGACAGTATTTCTGGGACAGAAATACCCTTGCCAGGATCACATGCAGGAAAACTAAGCCTGAGAGTGGCTTTGGTTCGTGACTCAAACATCTACCAGGGAACTAAGGCAAGCATCAGAAAGTTGTAGATTGCTGAGCTCCTTGCTTTTACCCACCACAGCGGAGAGCTTGAGTGTGGTTTGGTTTGCAAAGCACAGGCAAGCACAGGGTGGTGGCTGGAGACACTGTTGGTCTGCTTGGTTTCAGGCCAAGTGTCCACTTCTATATGGAGTTGTTTGCCACCTGTCTTCTGGGATGGATTGCTTACCAACAAAAAGACTGGAAGAGACACCAAGGAAGGACACCAATTCTCCTTAAGCAAGTAAGAGAAAAGCATCCTTCTGCCTCTGATCCCTTCTCAAAAAAAAAACCCTTCCTTGGCATGTTCTCCCCAGGGCCATCTCCAAGACCCTGAAATTCTTACCTCAAACGTTTCCACTAGAACATCTGCTGTTACCAAAGGCCAAAGGGGAGTTGGAAACTTCACAAAGTTGACATCTAGGAAATTTTGTCGGAAGCGCTCCAGATTTCTGGCTTCGTAGCGTAAGTCAATCTCAAGGGAGAAACAGAAAAAGCATGTTGGAAAATAGATTCAACTAGAGTTAGATCTTCAAGATCTATGAGGAAAGGACTGGACGGTGCAATACTCAATACCAACAAAACTAGTCAGAAAGCCAGAATGAAAACAAAATCAGAGAGCTACTTTTTACATGCTTATAGCTTCCCTGATGGAAGAGCAGAGTAACAGACTGGGTAATGGATGGCCCACAACCCAGCACCTTTGAAATCTGGGTGCCTTACTATAGGCATGGTGTCTCAAAATAGACCAGGACTGCATTATGTTTGAGGACAAAAGATCCTGAACCAAAGCACTTAACAGCCAGGCAGCCATAGCAGGAAGAAATTTAATGTCAAACATACAAAATAACCCACTATGCAAAGTTCAGGCCCTGGCTCTTCAGTGATGCAGTGTCTTGACATGAGGGCCTCTTTCTGTCTGCTACTGCTCAAGGAGGCAGGATAACCTTCCTTCACCTCCCTCATCTGACAGGGGGAAAGATCCCGGGAATACTTCATTTTTTCAAAGGGAATTAAAACTACAGTGAGCCTATCAGATATTCTCTTAACCCTCAGTCTTTAGCACATCCACCAAAAGCTCTGATGGACTAAACTGGTCCTAATGACCTCGAGCCACATTTGACTACAGTCAACAGTTTACAATGTGAATTTACTGTGTAGAGTTTTTGCAATAGTAGAAAATAATTAAGGCTTTCAAAAGCTTGTCATGGACTTCAGACTCTGCAATCTAGACACAAAAATGAAACTAGCAGATAATTGTTCATTTTAATAGCAACATAAGCCCGATTAAGCCTGTAGTGAAATCTTTGTAAGTTTGATATTAGCAATGTTTCAGGACTGAGTCTTTAGAAAACATGGATGAATCAGAATGTTTTCAGAATGATTTTCAAAGTCTAAAAAGTATTTCTAAATCAAACAAAGATTGCTAAATTTTGTCACTGCTTTGCTTTTTTACTTTGTGAGCATATAAGCTTTCCTACACTAACATTATGTGATTGATTAGAATAAAGAAAATAAGTAAAGAACAAGTCAGCCTTCATCTAACCGTTTAAAATGCAGCAGTGTGAACAGTTAGGGCCAGCCAGTAGCAAGACAAAGGGCAGTTTTGCTTCAGTAAGTGGGGACCATGGCATGGCATGTACCTGCTGCATCATAAGCTTCTCAAACTCCTCCACAACCTCTGTCAAACTGAGCCACTTGAATCCAGGGAGAAGTCCAATGAGGCGGCTGCCCATCTTCATGAGAAACAGATCCATCTGGACTTGGTTGACCAGCCCAGGGTGCAGGACCTGTACAAGAATGAGCAGTGGTAAGATCAGCTCTCCAAACACTCCATTGCAATCAGCTCAACTGATACATTCCAAATAGACAGAACCCAGCCTATTAGACTGGAAGCCAAGCAGCTTCTTCAGCTGGTCCCCAGAAGAATTCACATTTTGCCATGGATTAAGTTGTAACAAACATTTTATAATTGTCAAATGGAATTAATCTGTGCTGGAAACTACAGCCTCACCCAAAGACATTTTCCACCCCTTTCAGTCTCCAGTCCTGTCCTTGACTAGTATCAGAAGCTGCTCAAATACAAGAAATATAATATTTCTTTAAATAACCTTTGCTGGAAAGAACTTGTCTGTTCCAGATTTCTTCATGTGAACAGAGAAGGGGTTTCACTGTCTGGAAGGTGCACTTAATAATAATTTTTTTAATGTAGACTGGGCCCTTGTAGGCATTCCCAATACCCACATGCCATGTTAAACAGTGCCATAGGCAGCATAGATATTTGAGCTCTCCAGCTGGGAAGAGCTGGGGCCACTGCAACAGTGGATTGCGCCAGGCTGAAACAAAAGCACTGAGAAAGGACACCAAGGAAGACAGCATCCCTTCTCTCACTCTGCCCGGCCCTAGCCAACCACTTATCCCTATGACAGACACTGTGTCTCACCTAAAAAATCCAGTGCGCAGTCTGGAAGGTGTAAAGACCTTCCCCAGTTCTTCGTTCGCGAAGACTGGCCATTATTTATCCCTATGGGAATTAAAATCTGATTGACCTCATCCAGCACAGTCTGTTTTCATACATCTGCTATTCAGGTGTAGGACTTACTTTAATGGCTACAGGCGTGAGATGTCTGGCTGATGAAGGACTGGCATTCAGGAGTGGTTTGGCCCTCTGCTCCATAAGGGACATCTTATTCATGGGACTTCCCTGGGAGCAGTCTGCTAGGCTCAGTTCCTCCCTGCTCCTTTCATCCCGTGTCTCCTTGCTCTTCCTCGTTCTCAGCCACCTGAGGAGACCTCTAAAGCCTGACACCTCCCACACTTCAAAAGCGGACCTGAACTCCGAGTGTTGCTGCAGCTCCTGGGCCCGGGAGCCGCCAATAGCAGTGAGGTCAGCATAGGCTTTATAGACCTGAGCAACGCAGCCCGAGCCGACCGGCTCCCGGCTTGGGAATTTGAGGATGCCCGTCCAGTTCTCACCGAAGGCCTTCCTTAGGAGCATATCGGTGTGGCCCCAGGGGTGCGGGCTCACCTCGACATGCAGCTTGGAAAACTCATCACAGAAGGCCTCCGAGAAGAGGTCCCTGCGGGTGCTGGCCCACTGGCCCAGCTTGACACAGGTGGGGCCGGCGGCCTCGGCCGTCCTGCGCAGCAGTCGCAGCCACCGAGAGCCCATGCCGGGCCACAGCCGGCTCAGCGGGTACAGCAGGAGCAGCGGCCCGAAGCGCAGCACCAGCCCGCAGGCGCGCACCCCGAGCCGCAGTACCAGCCCCAAGCGCCACAGTAGCCCCCGGGGCGGCCGCTCCGCGCCGCGCTCCCCCGCCCACGCCGGCGCCCGCTGCCCCGGCCTCTCCTTCCAGCCGGT